AAGTATGATGTTTTCCAATTTCATCCATTTTGTTGCAAATGACAGGGTTTCTTTCTTTTTTTTTTTTACCACTGTGTAGTATTCTATGGTGTACATATCCCATAATTTCTTTAGTCTTCAGTTGATGGACATTTAGGTTGATTCCCTGTCTTAGCTACTGTGAATTGAGCTGCAATAAACATGAGGGTACAGATAACTTTTTCATATGCTGATTTCACTTCCCTTGGGTAAATTCCAAGGAGTGAGCTGGCTGGGTCCTTTGGTAGGTCTATATTCAGATTTCTGAGGTATCTCCATACGTCTTCCACGGTGGCTGTGCTGGTTTACATTCCCACCAACAGTGGATTAGGATACCTTTTATCCCACATACTCACCAGCATTTGTTGTTTGTAGATTTCTGCGTGAAAGCCATTCTAACTGGGGTGAGGTGAAACCTCACTGTGGTTTTGACTTGGATTTCTCTGACGGCTAGTGATCCTGAGCGTTTTGTTTGTGTGTCTGTTGGCCATTTGGATTTCCTGTTTTGAAAAATGTCTGTTTAAGTCCCTTGTGGGTTGTTTGCTTTGTTGTTGTTGAGTTTCTTGATCTCTTTATAGTTCTGATTATTAATCCTTTATCAGTTTCATAGTTTGCAAATAATTTCTTCCATTCCGTCAGTTGCCTCTTCACTCTCCTGACTGTTTCTTTTGCAGTACAGAAACTTCTCAATTCTGTGTAATCACATTTGTCAATTATGGCTTTGATTGCCTGTGTCTCTGGGATCTTTTCCAAGAACTATTTGCCTATGCCAATGTCTTGCAGGGTTTCTCCAATGTTCTCTAATAATTTATGGTATTGAGTCATAGATCTAGGTCTTTAATCCATTTTGAGTGGATTTCTGTGTAAACTGTAAGATAGGGGTCTTGCTTCATACTTCTGCATGTGGAGAGCCAGTTTTCCCAGCATCATTTGTTGAAGAGACTGTGCTTGCTCCAGGGGTTGATTTTAGCTCCTTTGTCAAAAATAAATAGGTTATAGATGTGTGGGTTGATTTCTGGCATTTCTGTTCTGTTCCAATGGTCTTTCCATCTGTTTTTGTATCAGTACCAGGCTGTTTTGATTATAACTGCCCTGTAGTATGTCTTGAACTCTGGGATTATGATGCCTCTGGCTTTGTTTTGTTGTATAAGATTTCTTTAGCTATTCAAGATCTCTTGTGTTTTCATATGAATTTCAGCATCATTTTTTCTGTATCTGAGAAGAATATCCTTGGTATTTTAATTGGTATTGCATTGTATCTGTAAATTGCTTTTCGAAGAATGGACATTTTGATGATATCGATTCTTCCAATCCATGAACATGGAAGATTTTTCCATTTTTTTGTGTCTTCTATTTCTTTTTTTAATGTTTTGTAATTATCATTGTAGAGACCTTTGACATCCTTGGTTAAATTTATTCCAAGATATTGATTTCCTTTGTAGCTGTTGTGAATAGGATTAATCTTTTTTTTTTTTTTTTTTTGGACAGGCAGAGTGGACAGTGAGAGAGAGAGACAGAGAGAAAGGTCTTCCTTTGCCGTTGGTTCACCTTCCAATGGCCGCCGCGGCCGGCGCCCTGCGGCCGGCGCACCGCGCTGATCCGATGGCAGGAGCCAGGAGCCAGGTGCTTTTCCTGGTCTCCCATGGGGTGCAGGGCCCAGGCACCTGGGCCATCCTCCACTGCACTCCCTGGCCACAGCAGAGGGCTGGCCTGGAAGAGGGGCAACCGGGACAGAATCCGGCGCCCCGACCGGGACTAGAACCTGGTGTGCCGGCGCCGCAAGGCAGAGGATTAGCCTAGTGAGCCGCGGCGCCGGCCAATAGGATTAATCTTAAAAGGTCTTTCTCACCTATTGCATTGCCTGTGTAGAAAAAGGATATTAATTTTTGTGTGTTGATTTTATGTCCTGCTACTTTGCCAAACTCTGTAATTATTTCATTAAAAAGACTTTCTAACCCATTCTTTCCATGCCTTCAGGAACTCCTAAGACCCATAAGTTGGGTCTTTTGATAGTATCCCATAAATCATCAACACTGTTTTTTAGTTTTCTAATTTTTTTTCCATTTTTTTGGTCTAACTGTAAAATTTCCTGAGATTTGTCTTCTAACTTGGCTATTCTTTCTTCTGCCATATCAAATCTGTTCTTAATACTTTCCACCATATTTTTTATTTGCTCTATTGAATTCTTCATTTCCAATTTTTTTAGTGTCTCTTTAAGATCTCAGTTTCATGGGAAAAATTTCCATTCATGTCTTGTACGGATTTCTTTAGTTCATGAATTTGCTTCTGATTACTTCTAAGCAACCCTATGATCAGTTTTTTAAATTCATTTCTGGCATTTTGTCAGTCTCTTCATCTTCACATTCTAGTATTGAAGTGTGTTCTTTTCAGGATGTCATGTTGTCTTCCTTATTCTTGTTTTGTGAATTGCTGAGTTTCTTATTAGACATTTTTGGTGATACTTGTTCATTTTTTTCTTTCCCTGTGGTTGCTTTTGCTTTGAACTATGCCTCTGTGGCTTAGTGGAGTGACTGCTCTTTCAGTGAATACCCAGAGGCATGTAGCCATGGAGCTCTCTTCAGTTCTTGGTGCTGGGTGAGGGGAGTGTCCAAGGTGACCCCAAAGTTGGGCGTGGTAAATCTCTCTCTCTCTCTCTCTTTTTTTTTTTTTTATAATCAGAGGGGAGGTTTGTTCTGTCCTGTTGGCATATTCTGACGCTTACCTCCTCTCCTCAAAGGAGATCAATGCCTGAGTGCTAGCCCCAGTGAGTACAGTTTTCATCCACGCCATCACAGGAACCACACAAAGGATCCGTGCAATCCATGGTGTGAACATAGATCCTGCAGCAGTGACCCTCACCAGGGAATCAGGAAGCCTCAAGTGTGTGGAGCCGCCCACAGTGACTGCCCAATGTCCCAGGCACACTCTGCACCTTCCCACGCAGCCACGGTTTTTTCACAGTACCAACACAGAGGGCTCCCGCAGTCACAGGCTCCCAGCCCTCTGTCGGTTCTCCCAGCCAGACTCAGGCGTCTTCACTTGTCTGGTTGCTGGGCACGTGGACATGAGCTTATGCAGGTGTCACGTATGTCCAAAATGGCACCCACCTGCTCTCAGCTAGTTACAGGAGCTGGGCTGGGTGGTTGGGGAAAGAGAAACGCCCGCCCCCCGTTTTTTCTCTCTAGGTTGGCGAGTACACTGTCCCCCACAGGGTTCAGCCAGACCCCGTTTTTTCTCTCTAGGTTGGCGAGTACACTGTCCCCCACAGGGTCCAGCCAGACTCCCACCAGGCTCCTCCCACCGCTGTATCGCCAGTGACTTGGGCTGCTGCAGTCTGGTCTCACTTCATTCCATACTGGTGCTGAGGCTCTGGGCTGCGGGGTCCTGAGTTGTACATGTACGCCCTCCACGGGGGTCCACTGTGTCCCTCTGATTTGCGTGCAGTTTCCTCTGCTGTTTTCTTCCTAACTCTTCCCCGAGACTGCCTTCTTTCCACTTCTTTCTAACACTGTCTTCCCCTAGACTAGAGCGGTGCGTTCCCTGCTGTTCGCCATGGTGGAAAACCCTAGACTCTTTTGGTGGAAAACCCTAGCTCTTTCTTGCTTTGAGCATTCTCTGCTGGGAGAGGTTGTGGCTGAGAAACAGTTCTAGTTTTGAGCTCAGCGTTTGCTGGCTCCTTTGCATTTCTACCTGATTCTGCTTGAAAATGCGCACCCTCTCCCGCAGCCGTCTCTGTGTGCACCTCACAGTGCACGTGGCAGAGGGATCAGCTGACGCTCTGGATGTGCAGCTGGGGGATTGCCTAGCTAGAAGCAACCGTTCCTTACCAGCATTTCCTGTTTTCAGTCTCCCCGCGGTGCACAGTTTTGTTAGAGTTTCCACCACTTCACAACGAACGTCTCTCTTCCAGCTGCTGATGACCTTTCACCCTCCTTTGGGGCCTTCCCAGTTCTCTGCACGAGGCTCCCAGGCTTTGCTGGTGAGATCCTTAGGCCCACCACCCAGGCTTGTGTTTTCAGTTTTGTTATATTAGCACCCTAGTTTCACGCACCAGGTTCTGTTCTGGCAACTCTTGCTGTACAACAAACTGCTCCAAAGCTGCTCCCAGAATCTGCAGAGCTCTTCCGCACCCAGCCCTGGGAATCACTCGGTGGCAAACTCACGTCAGAGAAGGCCATGTGAGATGGGAGCTTCTGCCCGGGATGGACAGAGTAAACCGCATAGCATTACAAAGGGAGCAAAGTATATTCAAATATTCTTAATCTAATTGATAAAGCAATATGTGCTTCTTTAACAATGCAAAGCGAGTTATAATGACAGGCCTAATAACCATAGTGATTTAGAGGTTGGAGAAAGAGGAGTAATTCATTTTCCCATTCAGGTTTGTGGAGCTCCTGGCTTTTGTCCGCGTGTCCAGTGGCCTCTGCCTGCCACAAAACACTGTCCAGCAGAGGGGCTTCTTTCCATGGCAACTTGGGTGGGTGCTGCTGCTGCCCACAGCTGGGTGGACGCTGCCCTCAGAGGACCTGGAGTTTTCTTTGTCTTCAGCCAGCAGTCTTGCTCCAGAGTCTGTCTGTTCTGAATCTGTTTAGTGTGCATCTCTGTCTCCTGTGAGCAGCATGGTGCAGTTCAGCCCATTTTTACGTGACAGCTGCCTGTCTTTAGTCTGGGCCTTCCCTGAACGACTTGTTGGTGTTTTCAACCACGCATTACTCAACAGCTGGTTGGCCTTTGTGTCTTCAAATTGCTTTGCCTTTCTAAGGTTGATCCTGATTTCTAAAAATCTGTCTCACATGAAAAATATCTTTCGGCTGTCAAAGAATTATTTCAGGTCTTCTTGGAAGATTAAAAGCATTTTTAAATTTCAGGTCAGTATTAGTTGTCACAAGCTTTGCGTTTTAGACGGAAACATTCCATTATACATGAGTACGGCAGGAAATTGCTGATTCTCAGTTCAAAACTGTGTATGTGTCTCCCTTCAGGCCCAGCGGTGTACAGACCTGTGGAAGGACCTATCCTGGAAGTGGGCTCGAGGCCCTGTGAGCGAGGAGTCCTTGGGTTCCGGTCAGGTGGAAAGTCGCCCGTGGAGGTGAGATTCAGCAGGCCCTGCCATGGCCCTCCCCACTGCTCCCTGTGTGGCCCCGGGAGGGCCGAGGTCTGTTGCCTTGATCCGAGGGTGCTCATGATGTTAAGTAAGTCTGCCAGACTCCGTTGCCACCAGGCCTCGTCCTTACCAGTCTGTGTGCTGTTTGGCCGGGAAGAGTTCTCGGGAACTCTGCCAGTCATTACCAAGTCTGCTCAGAATCCTTCAGCCCTTCACACTTTCCCTGAGATTAAGTTCAAACTCTGGCGTGGCCTCTCGAAGATCCTGATCACTGCTTGCCTTCTCATCCTTACCTGACGTCCACCTCTGTTGCCCGGCCGTGGACCCTTGCCCGCCTCACAGCCTCGCTCAGCGGCGTTCAGGCACTCGTGTTGTAGAATGGGACTGTTGCTTAGAGGCTTTGTTGCTCTTTGGCTCATCTGCACCTGATTCCTTTTTTTTTTTTTTTTTAAAGATTTTATTTATTTATTTGACAGGTAGAGTTACAGACAGTGAGAGGGAGAAACAGAGAGAAAGGTCTTCCTTCCTTTGGTTCACTCCCCAGATGGCTGCTACGGCTGGCGCTGCACCTATCCGAAGCCAGGAGTCAGGTGCTTTTCCTGGTCTCCCATGGGGTGCAGGGCCCAAGCACTTGGGCCATCCTCCACTGCACTCCCTGGCCACAGCAGAGAGCTGGACTGGAAGAGGAGCAACCGGGACTAGAACCGGTGCCCATATGGGATGCCGGCGCCGCAGGTGGAGAATCAACATAGTATGCCCCAATTTCTTTTTTTTTTTCACTGTTTCCGGGCCTGTCTGTCCCTTCAGCTGTGCAGTAATGCAGTGTTTGTAGCATAATTATTACATGAAAGTGAGTCATCTTGACTCAGCTACAAGAACTGAGTGACCTGTTTACAGAAGGGTGGCTTGACAACCCTGTGTGAAAGGAAGGAAGGGCTGATTAAGCAATGTTTAAGTGTGTGACTGCCAGTCATTAATGACACAAACAATAGCTGGCTTGATTGCGTGTGATAAAACATTCAGCGCCTCACTAACCCAGCTCTCCTGCTGGAACAGAGTCACAGTAATCTCGCTCACTTGTAGCAGGACAGTATCGTTTGAGGTTTGAGTTTGGGAAACAGGTCAAAAATCTTGTCTGCGGAGACTTCACGTCCTCATATGATGGGTGTCTTTATGCTGAGACGCTGAGTGACTCAGCATGGGAGCATTCGTGTCTGTACAGGGTGAGTGCAGGGACGACAGCTTGGGAAGGGCTGTCCTCTGTGTTAGTCACGTGGTGACGGGGAGACACAGGACTCGGTGTCCCGTCCCAGTCAAACTGGCTGACTTCAGTGCTGTGCGTTTTCCTGAGAGGCAAACTGACCATCTTATTGGGAACATCAGCGGGATCTTACATGAAAGTGCTCTGCAGATTTAGGATTGAAGCACGATTTTAGCTGCGTTGTGCCAGCATTGTATCTCTGGGCCGATCCCTTAAACTTTTGGAGCTGGGTTCCTTTCCAGGTAAAACGAAGGCAGTTGGCCAGCCTGTTTGACTTGAGGAGTGCTATTTACATAAGTTACAGTTGATTATCTTTCCTTTTTCTCCTCTGCTGTCCCGTTGCATTCATTACCTTGCTAACACTGTGGTGACCACGTAACACAGCGTTTCATTCGTCTTCATTTATCTTATCTCATTTAATTTTCCGAGCAGTCTTGTAGGGACAGTGTACAAGCCTCATTTACTGATGAGAAGGCCTGAGGCTCAGCGAGCCTGCGAGCTCATTGGCGCTCAAGGGAGGTCTCCGAGGCCCATGTTCATTTGTTAACAAGCATGTGGCTTGAGTGAAGACACGTCGCCACATACCTCAGCTAAAGCAGCTCTAATCTCCATTATTTTCCCTTTGTTTTCTTCCCAAAATGAACAGTTGGTGCCTTACCAAGATGTTATTATAGAAGAATATACATATATTTGGTAGCAGTAAGCATAGTTTGGGAAATTTTTTTTTGCTTTTTTAAAAAGATTTATTTCATTTTTTAATAGAAAACTTTTATTTAACAAATATAAATTTCAAAAGTACAACTTCTGGATTATAGTGGTTCTTCCCCCCATAACCACCCTCCCACCTATAAACCATCCCACCTCCTACTCTGTCTCCCATCCCATTCTTGATTAAGATTCATTTTTAATTATCTTTATGTACAGAAGATCAACTCCTAAGTAAAGATTTCAACAGTTTGCACCCACACAGACACACAAAGTATAAAGTACTGTTTGAATATTAGTTTTACCATTAATTCTTATAATACAACACATTAAGGACAGAGGTCCTACATGGGGAGTAGCTGCACCATGACTCCTGTTGTTGATTTAACAATTCACACTCTTATTTATGATGTCAGTAATCACTGGAGGCTCTTGTTATGAGCTGCCAAGGCTATGTATGGAAGCCTCTTGAGTCCACAAACTCCGACCTTATTTAGACAAGGCCATAATCAAAGTTGAAGTTCTCTCCTCCCTTCAGAGAAAGGTACCTCCTTCTTTGATGGCTCATTCCTTCCACTGAGATCTCACTCACAGAGATCTTTCATTTAGGTCATTTTTTGCCACAGTGTCTTGGTTTTCCATGCCTGAGGTACTCTCATGGGCTTTTTAGCCAGATCCAAGTGCCTTAAGGGTTGATTCTGAGGCCAGAGTGCTGTTTAGGGCATTTGCCATTCTATGAGCCTGCTGTATATCCCGCTTCTCATGTTGCATTGTTCCCTCCTTTTAAATTCTATCAATTATTATTAGCAGACACTGGGCTTATTTATGTGATCCCTGTGACACTTAATCCTATCTTTATGATCAGTTATGAACTTAAACTGATCACTTTAACTAGTAAGGTGTTATTGGTACCTGCCAACTTAATGGGATTTGGAGTCCCATGGCAAGATTTTAGCTTTACTCTTAGGGGTAAGTTTGAGGGATTGTGTGCCGAACTGTATACCTCCTCCCTCTCTTATTCCCACTCTTATTTTTAACAGGGATCAATTTTCAGTAGGGTTTATTTATTTGAAAGATAGAGTTACAGAGGGAGGTAGAGACAGAGGGAGAATTCTTCCATCTGCTGGTTTGCTCTCCAGATGGCTGCAATGGCCGGAGCTGTGCCAATCCGAAGCCAGGAGCCAGGAGCTTCTTCAGGGTTTCCCGCGTGGGTGCAGGGGCCCAAGGACTTGAGCCGTCTTCTGCTTTCCCAGGCCATTGCAGAGAGCTGGATCATAAGAGGAGCAGCCGGGACTAGAACCGGTGCCCATATGGGATGCTGGCACTTCAGGCCAGGGCTTTAACCTGTTGCGCCACAATGCCAGCCCCCAGTTTGGAAATTTTAACATAGTGCCATTGCAGAATGTCATACTAACATTATGTTATATGTGCTACATGTTTAGAAATATTTAAGTACTGAAAATGTTGTTTGTTCTTCAAATAAGATGAGCTAATTGCTTTTTAATAGTTATAGTTTATTTTTTAAATGTAGCATTTAATGACATAGGTGTTGCAAACTTCAAACTGTTTTGTGCTTGCCATAAAAGGAAAATGGATGATCTGTGTCTTATTTGTTTCATTTTAAAAGATTCTAATTTATTTTGTAGTTCTAGAGAAGGTGTTAAATATATAAAAGTTTTCTGTAATTTCTGAAAGTTAATGTTTTAGGAAAGTGTTTATGGTATCTATTTACATTAAACTTAAAAAACATCTCTGGACTCTGATGTGTAGGTTGAGCACATCCAGAAACATCTAATCTGTCAAGAGTTCCCTTCCGAGTGCTGTGCTTTAGCATCTCCCCCTGCACGCTCGGGGATCCCTCACCCCGCACACCTGCCCTAGATACTGAGCTCGCTTGGAACACGCTTGCTTTGGGTGACTGACAGCAGTGATCCAGCCAGGGCTCTGATGCTGCTGCCTTCTGATTCAGAAACCTCTGCCCTTGTGGCCTTTCTGAACTCAGATTTCCCTTTGCTTCTGTTCAAGTTTCCTGGTGGTCATTACTCATCTAAAAGTGAGTTCCTGTGAAGAGCTCATTGGTCATAGTTTTATTTTTATCTTCCCAACTGATGGCTTTGAAATGGCCAGGGCACTTTCAGATCTTACCTGCTCCTGTTCTTAACCATGTTCTCAAAATTCCACCTCCATTGGCCTTCTTTTCTTCTGTGCAATTACGCCACGGATATTCCAGCTTCAGGGTCTTCCACTGCTTGTCTCTCTGTGGGCAGTGGTCTTACCCCAGCCTGCTGGTTTGCTGGTTTTCCTTGTCATTAAAGTCACAGCTTAAATGTTCCTTTTTTGAAAAGATTCCCTCGACAGCTCACTATAAATGAATGCTCCCCCAGCTTGTGCTCATTACTTGCCTGTGTTTTGTTTTCTTCTTAGCACCTAATCACTAACTGATATCTTTTTCTTATTCATCTCCCTTGATGGGGACAGAAGACATTTGTCCTGTGTAGTACTGTATTTCCCAGTACCTAGAATAGTATCTGCTGCGGTAGATCTTCCAGTAAATATTTGTTGTATGAATAAATGAATGGATGCTTTTGCTACTGGCTATCTACAAAGGTATCTTTTTACTCTTTTCCATTTTGTGTGGATGGAGTTAGGAGGGTATAATTGTGTGCTTAACATTTTTTTTTTTAAATTTATTTATTTAAGAGGCAGAGTTACAGAGAGATAGAGACAGAGAGAAAGGTCTTCCACCTGCTGGTTCACACCTCAAATGGCTGCAACAGCTAGTGCTGCACCAGTCCAAAGCCAGGAGCTAGGAGCTTCCTCCAGGTCTCCCATGCAGGTGCAGAGGCCCAAACACTTTGGCATCTTCCTCTGCTTTCCCAGGTGATAGCAGAGAGCTGGATTGGAAGTACAGCAGCTGAGACATAAACCCATGATCCCATATGGGATGCTGGTGCCACAGGCAGAGGCTTAGCTCACTATTGGATCCTGAATTTTTTTAAAAATTTCTTTGAGGGACTGG